CAAAATAAGCATATACATTGTACAACATAGGCACTAAGACATGAACATGAGGAAAATATGGGTGAACTCGGTCAGCTCATATAAGTGACTTAAAGAGATATTGAGTTTGGCTAAGAAGATTAATGGAAGAGAGGTTTCACAGCCATGCTAGCTGCAGAAAGAATGAGCTACTTTGCCAATCCGCTATAAATGTAATTATCAAATACAGCAACAATAAGATCAACAATATTCTAGAGAGAATACAGACAGACTATATATATATTTGTACCAAAAAGACTGCGGCGAGACCAAGCATGATACAACTTAGCGATTCAGAGATATAATTTTTAATAGCTTTTTGATCCAATGAGGGATCTGACTGCCATTCAGGTGTGAAGGATTTTTTTTTTTTTTTTTTTGTGAAATTGAAAGCACTTCAAACTGTTTTTTGCCTTCTTTTGGATCAACAGCAAAAACAGATGTGACAGGCTGAACTTGATGTACGCATGCCTCTTTTCAGCTATGTAACTTTGTAACTATGTATCTCAGCCACAACATTAAAATCCCCTGCCTAATATCTTATAGATCCCCATCATGTTGCCAAAACAGCTCTGATGTGTTGAGGCATGGACTCCACAAGACCTCTGAACGTGTCCTGTGGTACCTGGCACCAAGGCATTAGCAGCAGATACTGAGGTGGGGCCTCCACAGATGGGATTTGTTGTTTCAGCATATCCCACAGATTCTCAATCGGATCGAAATCTGGGGAATTTTGAAGCCAAGGCAAAACTTTATAATCTTTTTAATGTTACTCAACCATACCTTAACAATGTTTTCAGTGTGGCAGACCACTGCTATTAGAAACCCATTGCAGTGAAGGGGTGGTCTGCAACAATCTCCATGTAGGAGATACATGTCAAAGTAACAATCACATGAATGCCAGGACCCAAGGTTTCCCAGCAGAACATTTCCTAGAACATAACACTGCCTCCTCTTTTACCACTTTTGGTATGTACTAACCACTGCATACTGGGTGTAATGGAAGCTCCCATGCCACAGCCTTCTGGAGAGGTGTAAAGGTTAGCCTCCTGCCCACAGACTATGGGTCTGGTCCCAAGAGCCCCTAAAAAGGGCTGTTGTTTCTATGAGAGTGGGGCCACAGCCACTTGTCTTATTTGTAAACGATTCCCCATGCCGAGAGGCCCTTAGTCTGTTGTTTTATATTGTGTTATTATGGGTGCCTGTATGTTTCCCTATATGATTTGGTCCTATGTATTAAATTGAATGTATTGATTATCCAGGTTGTATGTACCTTTTCCCCTCCCCCCTTTTCCTGTCTTATTTTTTTCCCAGCAGGGAATTGTCCCTTTGTTTGAAGGACACAGACCTGTCCAAGTGGCTTCCATGCCTCTCATTAAAATCACCCACGTGGTTCTCTGCAATTGCTACTGTCTGCCCCCACCCTTCCTGGTAATTACAGGGCTCCATTCACACTGGTTGTAAGCTTTGTAGTGTGATTGGTTGTTATCCCAAGTCCATACTGCCATTGGTGGACTTGGGCTCTCTGTGCTGTTTGGGAGGGGTTACGCTGGAGGACCGGAAGGGGAACTGTGTTCACCACTGTAACCCTATTGTATGTAAATGATTTGATTTTAAAGCAGCACTGTCACTCCCCTACACACTGAATATTTCATAAAGATAGAATCTTTATAAAATACTCATAGTGACTGTGTTGGAATGTTATTCATATTCCAACCCAGTCAAGAGATATACAGAGAGAATATTAGGGACTACTTTGTATCAATATTTTTCCTATGCCTGAGATTTCGATACGCTAAGCTGAAACACCACCATCTAGAAGTATAGTTTGTTGTGCATAATTCTAGAATTACATATGAGAAAAATACGTAGTACATGAATTACTAAATACCAGTGTACTGAATAGCTATATGAGATACCAAATCATAACAACCCATAAATAATTCTATATACAAAAAATAAAAGCATACCAGATCTAGTGAGAAGAAGGGTTCCCTTGGTAAAGGCATTTTGCCGAAACGTTACATAGTTACATAGTTACATAGCTGAAAAGAGACTTGCGTCCATCAAGTTCAGCCTACCTCACATTTGTTTTTTGCTGTTGATCCAAAAGAAGGCAAAAAAACCCAGTTTGAAGCACAATTTTGCAACAAGCTAGGAAAAAAATTCCTTCTTGACCCCAGAATGGCAGTCAGATTTATCCTTGGATCAAGCAGTTATTACCCTACATTGAAAGATTATATCCTTGAATATTCTGTTCTTGCAAGTATGCATCTAGTAGCCGCTTGAACATCTGTATGGACTCTGATAAAACCACTTCCTCAGGCAGAGAATTCCACATCCTGATTGTTCTTACAGTAAAAAAACCTTTCCTTTGCCTTAGACGAAATCTTCTTTCTTCCAGTCTAAACTCATGGCCTCGTGTCCTATGTAAAGTCCGGTTTGTGAATAGATTTCCACACAATGGTTTGTATTGGCCCCGAATATATTTGTATAATGTTATCATATCCCCTCTCAGGCGACGTTTTTCTAAACTAAATAGGTTTAAATTTGTTAACCTTTCTTCATAGCCGATATGTTCCATTCCTTTTATTAATTTTGTAGCCCGCCTCTGCACTTTTTCTAGTGCCATAATATCCTTCTTTAGAACAGGTGCCCAAAATTGCACAGCATATTCAATATGGGGTCTTACCAGTGATTTATAAAGAGGCAAAATTATATTCTTGTCCCGAGAATGAATGCCCTTTTTCATGCATGACAATACCTTACTGGCCTTGGCCACTGCTGATTGACATTGCACATTGTTGCATAGTTTGTTGTCTATAACAATTCCCAAGTCCTTTTCATGTGTTGTTATCCCTAATTCGCTTCCATTAAGGGTATACGTTGCTTGTGTATTCTTTACGCCGAAGTGCATAACTTTGCATTTTTCAACATTAAATTTCATCTGCCATTTGAGTGCCCAGTCCCCCAGTCTATCTAAGTCCCTCTGCAGCAAAGTAATATCTTGCTCACATTGTATTGTTTTACAAAGTTTGGTGTCATCTGCAAACACTGAAACATGACTTTCAATGCGGTCTTCAAGATCATTTATAAACATGTTAAATAGAAGGTGGCTTGATTGGCTTGATTGATTCTTTCCTTCTTCTCGCTAGATCTGGAATGCTTTTGTTTCTTTGTATATAGAATTATTCATGGGTTGTTATGATTTGGTATCTCATATAGCGATTCAGTACACTGGTATTTAGTAATTCATGTACTACATATTTTGCTCATATGTAATTCCAGAATTATTGGCTATTGCTTTGTACAATTTACATGACAATGTTTGTCTTTTTTTTGATCTACTGATATATTTAATGAGATATCCAATTGCTGTGGACCCATCTAATAAAAACCTTTTTGTATATATTTGTGGTTGTGCTCCTCACTTGAGTAATATTTGCATCTTTATGTTTGTCAGTTTGTGTATCTGTGTGTCTGCATCTTCATGTGTGTCAGTTTGTGTATTTGTGTGTCTGTATCTGTATGCGTGTCAGTGTGTGTGTGTATACATGTGTCTGTATCTGGATTTGTGTCATTGTATATATTTGAATATCTGCATGTGTGTCTGTGTGTGTATCTGTGAGTATGTGTATCATGGTGTGTGTGTGTGTGTGTGTGTGGCAGCATATGTGTATATGTGCATAAATCTCAGCATTCATCTTTATTAAAAAGATGAAGAAAAATCTCAGCATTCAAATGCCAACACTACACAAAATACACCCCTACATTCATACATCAACACTACAAACACACCCCTATATTCACACAAACATACTCCATCCAAATAATGTTTTCATTCAAACACACAAACACTGCTCGGTGCTAAATACAGTCATGCAAGGATGGGAAAATGGTAGAGCTCCAGCTGTCAAAGCATTGTTGTAGTTGTACGACAGATGGGGATCTACCTTTTGACCACCCTTGCGATAGGGTAGGTCCCCAAAACATTCTTGCACAAGGACCCTCTCTACTTTAGGTCTGCCACTGCGGGGGGCCTTCTCTGATTCTTGCATCGGCGCCCTGTGATTCCTAGTTAGGTCCCTGGTTCCATTATATCCTGAATAAAATAAAGCAAAGAATACATCACATGCAAAACATGAGATAACGTGAAAAGTTAATTTTTAATTGGTAAGTGCTAAGTGTCTTATCTGATGTACTTCCTCCAGGGTGTGATGTCAGCATCATCCTAGGTGTAACCCTGAGACAGAGACGCCATCTTGTTACACAAGGTGTTTTGGACGGTGGGAGGGGGTGCTCTAGCAGCCATTTTGAGTAAATAATGAGCACAGGTATACACAGTAAATAGACATTTTACCTATATTAATATCTATCCATAACACCAGTAAAGTTACATTATGTTTTAATAACTCCCATGCTAGACGGTAAAAGTAATCACCAGGCCAAACGCAGTTACTAACTCAACCAAGTTGACAATTGTTTACAGAACAGTATCTTAAGGACAATTTGCTCAGACGATTAATGGTGTAGTGCATGTGGGTTATTATTATTATTATTATTATTAGTTATTATTTATATAGCGCCAAACTATTCCGCAGTGCTTTACAATAAGAGGGGAATTTACCAAATGAGACAATAACAAAATGAAGCAGGAACAATAGGTAGCTTAGGACCCTGCTCAAACAAGCTTACAGTCTAGAGGTTGATTCATTTTTCCTAATTACAATAATCTGGTATTAAAGAGATATTTCTCCACTTACATAATGTTCATTTTCATTTGTTAGATGCATTCTAGCTTTGTAATAATGACATAAATAATTGCTGGGTAGTTGCAGACAGCTTTTACATAATTACTGGGAAATGTAGAAGCATATGTTGGTCCTGGAGATGTTCTTGTTCTTACCAAGCCTTTAGGGACCCAGGTGGCAGTGAACGCACACCAGTGGTTGGACAATCCTGAATGGGGGAACAAGATCCGGATGGTGGTGAGCAGAGAAGATGTGGAGCTGGGATATCAGGAAGCAATGTTCAATATGGCTACTCTGTACCGTATTGCTGCAGCTCTGATGCACATGTTAAACGCCCATGCTGCCACGGATATAACAGTTTTTTTAATCTTGGGCCATGCCCAGAATCTGGCACAGGAGCAGCACAGGGAGGTCAGCTTTGTTATCCCCAACTTGCCGACTATCGCCAAGATGAAAGCTATTACCAAGACCTGCGGTAATCGTTATGGACTATTGCAAGGGACTACTGCAGAGACATCAGGAGGTCTTCTCATTTGTCTGCCACGGAAGCAGGCAGCTCGCTTTTGTGTGGACATCAAATCACCAAAGCATTGAGAAGGTCACCAAGCCTGGATCATTGGCATAGTAGAGAGGGGCAATCGCTAAGCTTGCATCATTGAAAAGCGTTGGATTATCAAGGTGACCCCATGTGGACCAGGGACCAGTGACAATAGTAATACTTCTACCTTGGGTGGATCATGCTAAAGCCTAATATACTTCTTTACAATTTGCCAGTGTTTCTTTTTGATGCATAACCAATAGTATAATGAATATATTTCTTATTGTAATCCAGTGTGCAGTATAATATGTTGTTTATGGCTGACCAGTAGGCTGTGACTGCTACCTTGCAAAGCATCATGGGATTTGTAGTTTTTTGTGTTGTAAACATCTCTGATAGGTGCACATGAAAGCTGTAAACTCATAGGCCAATTTATTACTAATTTATTAATAGTAAATTATTACTAAATTAACTAATAAATTGCAAGCTTGGTAAAGTGTTTGTCTACCCAATTTTTTATCTATATGTACAATGGCCAGAAAGTATTTTGCTCCACTATTTAAAAAACTATTATGAAAAACAATTTTGAAATTAATTATTTGTTTCTTAAAAGTCCATTTTAAACAGTCCTCCATAGGAAGTGTAAGTTAAGTTGTGGACATAAAATATATACAGGTTTCTGTAAAGGTACCAAGACTAAAATCCACAACAAAGTACTGGTTCTGACTGATCAATTTACTGTGTGATTGTTTGAAACAGGGTTATTCAGTAAATAATGAATGGCTGGAAAATCAAAGGGAATTAACAGTACATTTTACATTTTCAGACTTTTTTATGAAAAATTTAGATATGTCAGATATGTTTTAAATTTTGCCCTGAAGATATAAATTCCCTTTGAATTTACTTTTTTTTTTTTACAAATATAAACAAAAAAAAACCATAGAAACCATAGAAAAAGATAAATACAAATAACACATACACATAAAACATCTACGTGATATAATAACCGAAAGTAAGAACGTCTATAGAAGATTCTTACCTTTGCTATTATGTTACTACATGCTCGTTACTGGGGTCCAATCTTTTTATCCAACGTTCCCTTTGAATTTACTTTACCTTCCAAGCAATTGAAACATTAGTGAATAACATTTATATAACGTCTTACAAGCTTTCTCGGTCTTGCCACTAAAATCATAATCCTAGAATTGTTAAATACCCAGGGGTAATGATAAAAGGTAATCTCCCTGCCTAGTTTCTATTTGAATCCAAATTTATTGATTTATATTACCATAAATTGGTACTGATACTAGTTCATCTTTTCTCTTTAGATTATATTCCTGCAGAATCCTAACGCTCACCACTTTTAATTAGTTTACAACATAAGCCTTTTTAAGGTTCTTTTTATTGCCTTTAGGTTTACACCCCTTTAATCATTCCTGCTAACTCTTAATTGTCATATTAAATTGGTGTTTTGCGGGTTGCACTCTCCAAACGGATTTCATATGGTCAAATCTGACCAGGACTCTGGCTACATAAAGAGGAACAACCATTTCTGTTATTTTTGCACAACCTAATAGCGAACAATTGTAAAAGCCACAGTGGTTGTGCTATTTTTTTTAAATTCTTTCTATTTTCTGTTTTTTTTTTTTTTTTTTTAAATATGGATTTTTCCATGTATAAGACTATGTTTTTTTCTAATTTCTTTTTAGTCTAAAATTGCGAGTCGTCTTATACACAGAATGTTACAGCAGACGTTAAAAAAACACTTGTGCGCAGGGCCTAAGTTAAGATGGCGACTGCTGCTTTTCAGTGTGCCACGGCCCACACACATACCTGGCCTCCCTCCCGCCGATCCACTTCTGAATGCTGTGGCAAGGAGGAAGAGGGAGCTGCAGCATAAATCAGCACTTACCACCAACGGAGCTCCAGAGACATACCACACCATAAAAGGAGCATAAGGTTTGCTCCACCTCAGGTAGGTCTTGCTTTCTGATTTATATTGATGGGGTAGAAACCTGGTATCAGGGAGCAAATGGACTACTACTGTGATGTCCCAGCATGCCCTCAGACTACCTGCTGTATTGTGGTAGCTATAGTCTCCCAGCATGCAGTATAGAGCAATTCATTTCACACAGGGGAGGCATGAGAATCAGAAATGTGTTGTTCTCCTCTGAAGTCACCTTTAAAATATGAAAGTTGTTCCATTTGTTTAAAATATTGATTTCTTAATTTTGTGGTCAAAAAATAGTGTTCATCTTATATAGGGGGGCGTCTTATACACGGAAAATACGGTAATTACCTCTTGCAATGGCGTAACTATGCCATACATGTGTATATATAGCACTCCTGGAGAAAATGTTGAAAAGCAAGTAGTAAAGACATAATGCGACAGCCAAGTTACCGCAGCAAGGAAGAGTTGCAGAGGTTAGCAAGGCAAGGCACTCCTGAAACCATAACAACTACAACCAGCTGTAGTGGTTATGATGCTTGGAGACTTCTTGTAAACCTTGAATTGGTTGAACTGCTGATCTGCAGGAAAAAAACCTCACAAACTCAGCTATAGTTGGATTTTTTTTTTTGGCAATTAGTTGTTTAATAGATATATATTCCTAAAGTGTGAATTATCAGGTATTCAAAGTGAATTTAAACTTCAAATTAAACGGTAACATGGTCAAAGTTCTCAAAGTTAGAGAACTGTTTATTTATTCAATTCTGAATTGTATTGAACTGGAAGCCACATTGAAAAATTTACACCAACACAGCTAGAATCAGAGTGTGGCTATTTGCACAGCGTGGCTACATTTTTCAGCTTGGTTTTAAATGTACTGAAATTCAATTTTTAGTAAATAACCCCCTGATTGTTCATTATTACATGCACTTAATATTATTTTGTGGTGTCAGCTACCATAATGTTTATTAATAGTCATCAACATGTGGAGTGCTTAGTTTAGTTTATGGCATAAATAATATAGTTTGCCTCTAGGTTGTGCTGTTTGACAATTTTAGAAATGATTGCACCATCAAGCAAGCAAGCAGAATATTTTTAACTCCATGTTGATGAGACTGTCAAATACAGGTTTTGCCTTACCTATTGTAATAAATGAGTTAATGTCAAATCAGTTCAAATGAGTAGTGTTCCGATTCAATCCGAATCTTATTCATGTGAAATAAAATATTACCACTGAGCAACCAAATAAGAGTAAATCTAATATGCTTTACTTCAATTAAGCAATAAAATAGACTTAAAGTACACAAACGTATGTACAGAAATATAACAAATATTTTAGCAATTCTTGGGATTCCAGTTCCTAGCAAAATTCACAAGTAATCAAAAAATGCAATTAAGCCAGCCTACAAAATAATTAAATAATAATGATAACTTAAGGATACGTCATTGAAGCAAATTTTCTTGTATTTTGATCTGAAGTGAATAATTTATATTCACTGTGATATAAAGTGAGTAAATGTTACCGTAGAACCCCAAGGTTTAAAGCAGGTCTGTCACCAATAACGAACTTCATCTAATCAGCTCTCTGTCTGAATCTTTTTTTTTCCCGAGACTCTAGGTTCTATAAAACACATAAGGAAAAGTAGGGACTACTTGGGCGGAACTTAGAGCAGGTTGTTTCTGTTACAGTTACCAATCAAATTTACCCACCATTCATCAGTAAATTCATCCCACAGAAGGGCAAACAGCATACATTATGGACAGAGGAGAACAAAATGGCCGCACCCACGTATTGAGTGGTATTCAGCACAAGGAAGAAAGATACTAAATATATATAAAGGCATGTGACAAGGGACGGAGTGTGATCATTAAGATACAAGGGACATAATTAAGGAAAACAAAAAAGAAAAAGAAAATTTCTAGTTAGTTGATTGATTACCTTATGTGTGCATACTAGACTTTAATTTTAATAAACGGGCATTTGATTTTTTCGGTACAGCTGAAAAGGATTTGTGAACATTATGAAAACAATAACATTGCAAATATGAGAACTTTAATCATCAATATCCAGTAATGTAGGACCTGTTGGTCACTTGACAAATTTACCTGAATGAAGGTGGGCAAGAGTAAAAGGAGAAATATATCATATGATACAAAAAAATTGCTTAGTAGTACACGGTGGGATTGCTTCTGACCGAGAGATTGTGGGAGACCAGTAGGTATTAAAACGCAAACACTCAATTCCCTGCCATTTAGGAGTTAAATCACTTTGTTAATGTGGCCCTAGTAACACTTCCCTCCATGTAATGCATTGCACAGCCTTTATTGCACAGTCTGTTTAATTTGTAATTTTTTGCTTTGCAGTAACTTCCTGTGTGTGTGATTTAAAGTTCAATTTACAGAGCAGGAAATAAAAAACTACTAAAGTAAGTCAACATCTGATTGACAATGAAATATTTTTTTTCATGCAGGCTAGGTCAGTCATAGCCATGGGAGGTGTGGCCAGGGCTGAATATACAGAAACAAAAGTTATGTAACTCCTAAATAGCAGAGAATTGAGCATTCATACTTTAGAGGCATGTTTTATACACCCAAACTACTTCAATAAGCTGAAGTTGTTTTGGTGAAGTTGTAGCATCCATTTTAGTCAGCTGTGCTTCCATTTCAGCTTCTCTGGTCTTAAATGTGAAATGAAGATTAAATAAATTCACTTTAAATTCTTACTTTGGTAAATGACCCTTATAAATGTATCAGATCACTGGTGGTGTGGCAAAAGCTGACATGACAAATGGACCTGAAAAAGGTTAAAGTACACAACTTCATTACACATACTGCAAAAGCAATCAATTTTACACCTTCACTGAAAATGTAAATCTTAAACATTTATATACGTTAAAAAATACAATAGTTCTAATTTCTAGTTTTAAAGAGCAACTGTCGCTTTCCATTATTTGTCATATAATGTTCACTTATCCCCTATTTGTTAATAAATATGTGTTTGTGAGTTGTGAAAAAAATGAAATGTACTACAGCCTGGGCTGTACTGTATCATAATAGTATTTTTTAAATCTTTAAGCTAACTTTAAAAGAAAACTGAGCATCACAAGA